AAAAGATGTACTCTTCCAGCCTGGTGGCTACCTTGGGAGTTCAGGAGTTCCTCAACTGGTATTGACTGGCTATATCATTCTCAAAGAAGACCACCAGCAGGTTGATGAATCCAAGTCATGTCTTATCTTGCCAGAGGATATGGGCCTTAATGGAGCTGTTTGGGCAATGTGGAGCAAAAGTGAAGGTGAAATGGCTGTTTAAGGAGTCCCATAAAATCATTCATGTTTTGATGTTTTAATTATCAATCTTTTAGGAGATTACAGTAAGAGTTGGGAATTTTTATATCATGTTTCAAGTCTTTGTTAAAGCATGTTTAAGTGTCTTCTATGTTTAAAGCATTTATTTTGTGTAGAAGAAATGAATAGCTGTCCCATACCTGACCTACCTTGAATGTTGAATACCTTTTTGATCACCTTTTAGGAGACCCTACAGTCATACCTAGACTTTAAGTGATTTTTCCTAGGGCAGAGATTATGAAAAAGTCAAGGGCAGATAGTATGAGAAAAAGAGCTTGATTCTCCAGTATGGAGTCAGGCTGTCCTATCAACTGGGCCATAATAGTTAATTTTCACATGGTCTAGGAGACTGAGAGAATTCTATCATTGACCAAAGTGGGGAATTCAGAGACACACATAAGAAGAAACATCTGGGCAAGAACACTCCTTTTTTTGGTTTTGTTTTGTTTTTAAATTTTGTGTTTTGGTGGGAACTATATCCCTTCAGAATTCCATTTGTGAATTCCCATCATGAGTAGTGTCTGATTTAGGAACTTTGCCTTTTTTTTTTTTTGTGGGAAAGGTGGGGAGAGAGGATATGAGGCACTTTCTGAAGGGCAATTTGCCAGAGATGAGAGGGAGAGAGAAGAGATGAGAAAGTGACTGCTAGACCATGCTGGGACTAGTTTGAATTTCAAAAGTGGTCGAAACATTCTGCACAATGCTCTCTATTTAGTATTATCTCAACCCTTCAAGCTGAGGCTACATGATAGTGGAAAGAGCACTGTAATTGGAATCAGAAGACAAGAAGTTATCTTCCAGTCCCATTTCTGTTATCACTTTAGGCAAGTTGAATTCCTTCTCGAAGCCTCAGTTTTTAATATGTAAAATCAGAGATTAGAAAAGATGTTCCTTTGGCTTCTAAATTCTATGATCCTGCTTTCAGCTACCAGAGAGAGGTTATGTTTCTTGAGCTGCTCCTTACATGAGGATAAGAAAGGAACATACAATAGAATGTAAAAAAAAGTTTGTAAAGATTGTGAGGGGCCCAGACAGATGACCTAGAGGAAGTCATGATCTTTCTCACCTATGTGCAATGCACACCTGCCTAGAAGCAGAAGATTGACCAGAATGACTTCCAGAAGGTCTGTCCCCCCTTGGGATTTCTCCTGTCAAGGTTGGGAGGGAATATGCTTTGACTCAGAATATGTTATCTTTATGGTCTCACTAAGGAAATCTTATCCTGCAAATCTTTGCCATGAGTGATTGTTTGTTCAAACGTTACTCTTCCTTTCTTCCCTCCCTCCACCCCTATCTTTTTTTCTTCTCTAAGGAAACTTTCCACGTTGACCTCAAATAACTGATTCCTGTCAAGTGAATTTTCTTCTTTGAGTTTTCCAGCTCTTCTGCCTTCCAGACTACGGTTCTCTGACTCTTAGTGACAAGGCTAGGATGATGTATCAGGCACACAATCTGGTGCCATCCATCTAGAATTTCTTTTTTTCTACTGTGAAATATCTGTGATGGAAAATGTTCTTCAGTTGGCCCCAGGACTGAAGTGAGCCAGTAAACATCTGTTTGAGGCAGGCTAAAGACATGTCTCTCCTTAAACTGTTTTCTTCCAACTGCCTCATTGGAAGATTACTCTCTCTATCTTTGGAAATATCTTCTCTTGGACTTTTTTCTCCCTTGAACTTTCATCAGCCCCTCAGATCCTGCCCTGAAACAAATGAATCACTGCCTGTACTTTCTTCCCATGACTGTAAGAGGAGATTGCTGGAAACAATTGTGTTATTTTCTCCAGCATCCACCAGTGCCCCTTAAGAATATAGTTTGTCCTGTTCTTACATAAAGCTGTTATCAGCAGTCATAACACTTAGAACTGGGAAAGACCTTAGTGATCATTTAGCCCAACCCTCTCATTGTAAGAGTGAGATTCTTGGAGAAGTTAAGTGATCTGCCCTACTCATTTACTTGTGCTTATCCATAAATTGCTCTTCCCTTTTGTGTCTTAGAATCTATAACTCCTTTGAGAGTGCAGTTCAGTTACTACTTCTGCAGCTGGTCCCCCTACTTGAAATGATTGTCTCTCAGGGTAGTGTGACTGTTGTGAAGGGAGAATGTTGTTGATGAAGAGATTCGCCCAATCAGGTTCATTTAGTAACATAATACCTCTTTGTTCATGATTACTCTAACAGCCACATCACCCTTAGAAACAACAATTACCTCCTGGTCTCTGTGAATGAAAGAACTGTGATATCTTGATGCCAGCTTCTTCTCATATATTCCCAAGATGGAGGATGTATATACACATTGCACTGCATTTTCTATTCTTTCCTCTAGCATCTTTCTCACAGAATTCTCCACGAAAAATCTGAGACACCAAAACAATTCATGATGACCTCGAAACCGCTGAAGTACTGGGAAAGTATCTGAGTCTCCATGGTTACCATCAGTGCTATCTGCCTCTCCATGGTTACCCTGATGTAGGACCAGATTCATATGCAGGGTGACAAATTTACTTGGTACACGTACTATGTACAGTAAGATGAAACCTCCTTAGGGCCAAAGACTTTCTTTTTTGTCTTTGTACTTCCAGGGCCTAGGAGAGGTACATAGAAAGGACCGAAAATATTCTGGTTCAAATGAATTTGATTGCTCAAGGTTACAGATGTAGCAATTAGCAATGCCTCTGTGCCACGCTAACTCATTAATTGGACTGATAAATGAAGGCCTTGACTTCTTTTTGGGAAAGTTTCTTGTCACTGGAGGCTGACTGAGGGAATCTCTAGTTTCACTTACCATGAGAGGTGCTTGAAAACATAAGTATATTCCTTAGGGTAGAAACCTGCCAACTCTACTCATGGGTTGGATCTTTGGTTTGGAATAGACCTCTAGAGGTCTACATGTCAGAGCCGTTATTGTGTCTCTAGGCAAAATAGCAAAATAGAGACATTCTCTCCTAATGTTTTAAAAAGCAGAATATAGGACTTAAAGGTTTATGAAGATCCTTTTTCATAATGATCCTATTGAATAGGTGTCACAAGTATTATTACGCTTAAAAAACGGGGGGGGGCAGCTAGGTGGCATAGTAGATAGAACACCAGCCCTGGAGTCAGAAGGACCTGAGTTCAAATCTAGCCTCAGCCCAAACACTTGATACTTACTAGCTGTGTGACCCTGGGCAAGTCACTTAACCCCAATTACTTCGCCAAAAAATAAAAGAGTATTATTATGCTCACTTTACAAATGGGTCACTTTAAGGTCACATTAGCAGTGGGTAGCAAAGCCAAGACTGACTCCACGCTCCAAGTAGAGCACTCTTTATGCTTTGCTGTCTTGCCTCTCTCTTCTTCCTGCTAAATTGAAGATTATTTTTGATTTCTCCATTTTCTTTCCATCCTAAGATCCATTGATGTACTCTATATGCATTATTGACTAACTGGCTTTAGAATTACAATTTCTGGGAAATACTTGAATCATAGTTGCTGGTTTTATTTTGTTGTTGTTTGTTTGTTTTCTTGTTTGTGTGTTTTGAAATACAAAGGAGGCTTTAGAAGTCATCCAGTCCAACCCTTCAAAACAGAAAAATGAATCCTGGAGACAGAGGAAATGACTGGCCCAAGGTCACATAGTTAGCATCAGGTTCTATTTTTTCATGTGTGCATTTTCCTTTTCGTCACCCTTGACAACACAGAAAAAAGTTAATAGAATAAACCATTCCCTGGCCATTCTTTTTTTGGGAGGTAAACCTCACTGTCTGTCCCTCTTTAATTTGTGCAAGAGAAAGGAGATGTCCTACAAGAGAAAGGATAAATTCAATTCAACAATTTAGTTCAATTCAGTTAAACAAATATTTACTAAGTATACTAGACAGTTTCTCCCCTTCATTAGCAAAGGGCACTGCCAGCCCTAATTACCCAATTGTGATGTTGGTGATAATGTTATTTATGTAAGGTTTCAAGGTTTGCAGAGTGCTTGACTCACAACAAATCTGTTGAGGAGGTAGTACAAGAAATATCATTCCCATATTTCACAGATGTGGACACTGAATCTCAGACGATCGAGGAGACTTGTCTGTGGTCATACAGGTGGTTAGTGTCAAAGGCAGGAGTCCAACCCAGGTCTTCTCACCCCTAAGGCCAGTGCCCTTTCTAGCACACATAAATTCCCTCTCACCCAAGTCATGAGCACAGTAATCATTGGAGCAAATTTGATGTTTCCTCACTGTGGACCACACTAAAAAATGGGAAAAGCTCCAGGCTAGCATGGAAAAAACATTGATTGCCCAAGTCCACTTCTCAATCTATATTTATCTCTGTCTATATATAGTCCCTCAGATGGGATGGGGAGACAAGCCACATGAAAAAACCCCGGATGTGTTTAATTTCCTGCTGTGCACTGTTGACAAAGAGCTAATTTCATGTCTTGTAATCGAATAAATTTAACTTTGCACAAGCTTTATATGCTGGGGTAGGGACGCTCCGGGGCTCTGTGTGGCTTGGGAGCTTGCCAGACCAGCTATGGGGCATGAGTGAGTGTTTTTATTTTATCCCTATTTTATGGCTCTGCCTCATTCTCCCATTTCAAAATGTCGTGGTGCAGGATTGGTGTCATTTGTTTTTGTAAATTAACATCGATTGCAATTTATGGCCAGACAGATCTTGGAAAAGAAGGGCCTTGTATGTCTCTTGGAATGTCTGTAGAGAACCCGTGGGCATGTTCACAGTAAACGTTTGCACTCCACTGCTTCTTTCTGGGGGAAGAGTATACTTTTGAAAAATCCTGTCTTCTAACGGCTGGGCACAAAGGGCCCCTTATTAGGTTTTTTGCTGCTGCTTCTGATTCCTGTAGCAACAAGAAAAAAATGTAAATATAGAGAATCTGTCTTACAGTAAAGCTCTGGGGTGTGTGTGTGTGTGTGTGTGTGTGTGTGTGTGTGTGTGTGTGTGCTCATTCACCCCATGCCATAGGTCTCCAAGCAGTGTCCAGGGTCTACTGATGACCTGGCAAACAATTCTAGGGCCTCTTAGTCTCCTTGGGGTGTTCCTTACTCTAGCTTCCTTTCTTGGTAGAAAGGTCCTGAACCAGTGAAAAGTATTAGGAGAAAAGGAACATGGAGAAGAAAGAAACAAAAAACAATTTAAGAAAGATAGCTCATGGAAAACAAAGAGTCCCTGGCTGCCTTGTTTTAGAAGGCCTGAATAGCCTATGTGTGACTTATTTTTCATAGGACTGCAATCATAGATTTTTTTAAAGAGTTGGGTGGGATCTTAGCAATCATTGAGTCCAATCTCTCATTTGATAGATAAGGAAACTGAGGCCCAATGGTATCAAATAAGTTCACACAAGTACTAAGTAGAAGAAGTGCAATTTCAAGTCTGGTCTTTAGAGTCCAAGCCAATGCTCTTCTGTATCTTACCTTGTTGATTCTGCCAGTTACCTTCATGGCTCTAGGTCTCAAAAACAGTGTGCTCTTGAAGGTGTGGGACCAGACCTATGATTTCACTGGTGAAGAGAATTCTCAGGGAGGAAAAACCATGCAGGTCAATAACTCTCTGGTAAATTATAGTATTAAGAGAATTTCTGAGGTGTAGTGATGGTGGTGGGGCACTGAAAGGTAAGTGACTTACTCAGAATCACACAGCTATTAAAGATCAGGGGCAGTTCTTGAATCCATGTCTTCCTGACTGTGAAGCAAGCTCTCTGTTTGCTATGCCAAGATGCTTCTCATATACTTGAAAATAGGCCAGGAGAAAATCCTTGGGAAAACTTTTTCTTTGAGCCCACATATCCCACGATGCAGAACACCAATTTACATGATGTAGTCCAAGCTGTAACTAGGAATTTTGGCACCTAGGGCAACCACCACAAACCACAGCCAGGGGAAATGGAATGAAAGGTTCCCTTCGTTCATGATGATGGTGACATTGCCTCATGGTGGACAATAGAGTACCTAGGACATGACAACTTGGTCATTGCTGGAGAGACTTGTTTCTCCTCCAATGCCCCTTAGCCCTCATGAAGTAGTCCATCTGGTGGCGTTCTGTTTTAACTCATTATTCTTTATAACTAACTGCTAAGGTCAGTGGTTTCTTCACATTTACCTTTCAAAAAGCCTTAATCCTTGGAGGTTGGAGGCAGAGTGGTATGATAGAAAGTTGATGCCCTGGGGGAAAGAGGTTAAAAAATGCTTGAAGGAGCCCTAACTTCATTTCCCTTACCTCAAATTATCATATTAAATCTGGAGGGAACTTCATTCATTTCAGGAAAGTTTCATCTAGGCTTGACTTCACTCTTTCCTCTCTGGCAAACTCTTCTGCCATTTCTTCACATACTGCCTCTGTGACCCATGTATATGTTTATCCTTTTCTAATTCTGGAACCAGGAACCAGGAACCATGATCAAATTAGCTACTCTACTATTGTCCCTGAATGGGGTGTGTTAATATGTTCCCATCTGGTCTGTCTTACCTTCCCTGTAATTTTTTAGACTAAAATTCTCTCTAGCTACCACTTCCTTGCATGTGCCACATACATACATACATACATACATACATACATACATACATACATACATACATATAATGTGTGTATGTATGTATGTATGTGTGTGTATATATAGTATATTATATATGTATACATATATCTATATCTATATCTATATCTATATCTATATCTATATCTATATCTATATCTATATCTATATCTATATCTATATCTATATCTATATCTATATCTATATCCATATCTATATCCATATCTATATCTATATCTATATCTATATCTATATCTATATCTATATCTATATCTATATCTATATCTATATCTATCTGTATCTGTATCTGTATCTGTATCTATATCTATATCTATATCTATCTGTCTGTCTGTCTGTCTGTCTGTCTATCTATCTATCTATCTATATACTCCTTGAAGGCAGCTACTGTTTTTGCCTTTGCTTTTGTGTACTTAGTACAGTGTTTAGCACACAGTATGCACACTTAAATCCTTCCTTCCTTCCTTCCTTCCTTCCTTCCTTCCTTCCTCCTTCCTTCCTTCCTTCCTTCCTTCTCTCCTTCCTTCCTTCCTTCCTTCCCTCCTTCCCTCCTTCCCTCCTTCCCTCCTTCCTTCCTTCCCTCCTTCCTTCCTTCCCTCCTTCCTTCCTTCCTTCCCTCCTCCCTCCCTCCCCTTCCTTCCTTCCTTCCTTCCTTCCTTCCTTCCTTCTTCCTTCCTTCCTTCCTTCCTTCCTTCCTTCCTTCCTTCCTTCCTTCCTTCCTTCCTTCCTTCCTTCCTTCCTTCCTTCCTTCCTTCCTCCCTTCCTTCCTTCCTTCCTTCCTTCCTTCCTTCCTTCCTTGTTTCCTTCCTTCCGTCACGTAAGGCAAGTCCTCACACAGAAGTCAGAAGAAGTGATACAAGGACATTCTCAAGGTCTCTCAAAAGAACTTTGGAATCTTTGGATTGTGAGACATGGGAGACACTGGCACAGGACCATCCAGCATGGTGTGCTCATGCCAAAGAAGGCCCTGTGCTCTATTAGCAAAGCAGAATTTTAGTAGCTCAAAAGAAACATGCTATACTCAGATTTAGAGACAACTTCACTCCAAATGTCCTTAAGGGCTATTTCTGCCTGGCCTATGGTAGAGCTTTCCAAGCTGTATTGGTCTGATCAGCCACAGTCAGACACATTGTAGCTTGTAGTTTGACTCCAATATAGTTATGTCATTTTGGTACCCTTCGAGCACAAAGGCTAGCAACCAACCAACTACTAGGTTTTAGGTGAAATGGAGCCAAATGACAACTAAGTCTCATGAACTCATGGGAGTGTGAAATGATCCAACCACTTTGGAGAGTAATTTGGAACTATGCTCAAAGGACTATATAAATGTGGATACTCTTTGACCCAGAAATAACACTTCTAGGATTGTATCCCAAAGAGATCATAAAAATAGGGAAAGGACCCACATGTATAAAAATATTCATAGCAGCTCTTTTTGTGGTGGCAAAGAATTGGAAATTGAGGGGATGCCCACCAATGGGGGAATGGCTGAACAAGTTGTTGTATATGAATGTAATGGAATACTATTGTGCTACAAGAAATGATGAGCAGACACACTTCAGAAAAACCTGGAAAGACTTGTATGGACTGATGCTGAGTGAAATGAGCAGAACCAGGAGAATGTTGTACACAGTAACAGCCACATTGTGAGATGACAAATGTTGATAGACTTAACCCTTCTCAGCAATACAAGGATCTAACCCATCTCCAAAAGTCTCATGATGGAAAATGCTATTTACTTCCAAAGAAAGAACTATGAAGTTTGAATGCAGATTGAAGCATACCATTTGCTACTTTTTTTTCTTCTGTTGTGTTTTGTTTCCTCTTTCTGGTGCTTCTTCCTATTAGTTCTAATTCTTACTTGCAACATCACTAATGTGAAAATATGTTTAATAGGAATGTATATGTATAATCTATATCAGATTGCACACCACCTTGGGAAGGGAGGGAAAGAAAAATTTAAAACTTGAAAGCTTATGGCAGTGATTGTTGATAATTCAAAATAAATTAATTAAGAAAAAGAAAGGACTTCCACTTCCAGGAGCCAAGATGGCAGAGTAAAAAGGAAGTTGCTCTCACCCTCCCCTATCAACCTCTGAAAACCCAGAAAATATCACCCCAGAAAAAACCCTGGAACAGCTGAACCAGAAGAAAGATGGGGAACAGCAGAGCAGTAGCCCAGCCTTACCAGGAGGAGATCCTGGTAACCTGACATTCTACAGCAAGCCAGTCTCCCAGCGCCTCAGCAAAAATAAGGGAAGCAGCACTACAAAGGGCCCCAGGCAGATAAGCACCCTGCAGCATACATCTGAAAGGAGCTGAGGAAAACAACCTAGAGTCCTACTAAAGTTCCAGCCTTGCTGATTCCAGCCCAACATCAGGTAAGCTGTCAGAACTCCACAGCCTCCACCTGCCAACCAGGAGGAAATCCAGAAGCCCAGGTGGTAGAGCAGGCAAATACCAAAACCTGGACCTCCTACTGTCATAGTGAGGGTGGGGGAACTGGTGGACACCAGCTCAGAAAATCACCAGGTACATAAGCATTCTACAGCAAAGAAGCCTCCCAGTGCTTCAGCAGATCTAAGGGAGGCAGCACTGCAAGGGGTCTCAGGCAGATAAACACCCTGCACCACCCATCTAAAAGGAGCTGAAGAAAGCTAAAGGAAAGGAAAAGCAGGCAACCTAGAATTGTCTGAAAGTTCCAGCCTTGCTGATTCCAGTGCAACACCAGGTAAGCTGCCAGAACCCTACAGCCTACAATTGCCAGCATAAGAGGCCCCAGCACACAAAGCCAGTGACCAAGACCTAGGCTCCCAACACAAGAAGCTTGGGTCAGTACCCTCTGTTCCCCAGCAGGAGAGCTCAATCTCTTTAAAGGCCAAATAAAGAAACACCATGAGTAAAAAGAAACGTACCATAGATTCATATTATGAGAAGAGTGAAGATCAAGACAGAAATTCTGAAGAGGACAACATTGCCACATACAACAAAAGGGAATATGAACTGGTCTGAAGCCCAAAAAGCCTTCTTAGAAGAGCTCAAGAAGGATTTTAATAGTCAAATGAGAGAGGTAAAAGAGTCCTTAAAAAATACAATTGGCCAATTGGAAAAAAAAGTACACTGAAGAAAACAAGTCCCTAAAAACACAATTGGCCAACTGGAAAAAAAGTACACTGAAGAAAACAAGTCCCTAAAAAACACAATTGGCCATTGAAGAAGGAAGTACAAAAACTAATAGAAGAAAACAATCTGTTAAAAACTAGAATTGGACAAATGGAAACTAATGTCTCTAT